AGGTGAGGGGTTGAGTTTGTGCTGATTCCTTATACTTGTATTGACAAATAAAACTAAAATGTCCTTATTCCCATTTATCCCTCCTCGTCACCTTACGGGCATTTATACTTTATTGGCTTCAGGTTTGGTCAAGTAAAACTCAGGACTTTTTAAGGCCACTTGTATCATTCAATGCCATCAATGCCATGGATGCAAGGACACTGAGGTATGTTTTAATGAATTCGGCTGCGGCAAAGGGAGATGCAAACAGTCGGGCTCATACTTTCTTCATTTATGGTCATCCCGCTGTGTTTGTTATTATTGCATTTCCTGTTAGAAATTGTGACATTTTCTGATCTGTCCTTGAGGAATCGACAACTCTGTCAATTCCTCCGAGATGACTGCTGTTGTTCTTTAGAGCTATTCCAGCATATATTGAATGGAAGTGATTATAACTGAGCCTGCACATGCAGCTGTACACAGCCATCACAGCCATTCAGACACACTACAATACATCACAAACACAATACTCAATACGTTATTCCATTCTTGTATACTAGACAATTGTAAGATAGACAATGTTATCACCTTGACATGTTTTGACTCATTATGTGCCTTATAAGCTGCTCTTTCCAGGAAGTCGCTTACGAGGAAGATGGAAGTATACTGTGTAAACATGTCAAGGTAATGACGTCCCCAACTTACGATTTCCTGGTATAGAAGAACCTAATAACTTTCATCTGCTAAGAAGACACAGCTAACCTTTATTAACTCATTTGCTATAACACCCCTTCAACAAAACACACACACTAGACACAGGCCCCAAACACACACTGTTTTTGAAAGAGATGAAGATGAAGACAGCATGTTGTAGTCTGATTTGTTCACATTATACGTTTTACATTTACAAGACTTCTGTTGAGAAAAGCAGAATTGAATGACTTATTTATGGAGAAAATAGTTCAACAACCCAGCTTTAAATATGCAATAGTTCCCGATGAAACCTTTGGTTAGTTTTTGTGAATCATGACTTGGAAGAACAGCTGATGAGGAGAATCACACTGGATGTTTTGAGATGCACCTTCACAACATACCGAGGTTGCATCAGCTCCAGCCTTCATGTTTCTCTGTTCAAAATATAAAGACAAAATGAATAAAGCAACTTCTTATTTAGTTCAGGCTGTTTATATTCATTTTACTATGTGGGGGTTGCCAATGTTGCGTGTGTCTTGCAGGATTCATTTGAAATAGAATGTTAATACCATAGTTTCAAGCTGGAATACAATAGCCAACTGAACAATCTTTTTAAACAGAGGCTCATTGTCCATGGATTCGCCTTCAACTTCTGTTATTAGCAAAACATTCCTCAAATTCATCAAAGGAATTTATCACACATGTATCTCTCTATTTGTTTAGATCTCGAAAGGTCGGTGTATGTGTTTTATACTTTTGACCAAAACAAAGCTTGCGTTAAACTTCATTCAGCAGTCATTATTAGGGGTTTGCAGAAACATAGATGTTTGTATCAAAATCTGTATTTCATAAATCTTTTCATGTAAACACTTTCCCAGATTTTTTTCTGATTAATACATTTATAAGTTTTTGTTATATGTGCTGTCCTCGCCCCAAGCTACTGCCTTTGCAAGGCTAGACTGGGAGATAATGGTCTTTCAATTAACATATTTTGCTCCTCTTTGCTGATAAATGAGGAATGGCTACAACCATTGTCCTCTTTAGACCAACCGTAAAAGTGAAATACAAAAAATGTTACGTTAGCTACTTGATAAACATCAGCTCTGTTAATACAGGCTAATGACATGCTAACAAATAACTTCAAACAAAATATACAAATTACACTCAAAAAATCCACAGAAATACATATTTACAACAATTCAATTCAACTTTATTACGGACTCAAGGTCCAAAAAAGACAGCGACATCACAAACAACATTAAACTACAAACAAATAAGTTACACAGTCCCTTTAAAAAGACAGCTATACCAGTGCCTCCACATTAGCGACTGATAGCGAATGGCACTACAGGTGACATCAACCAATGAACCAATTACTGTATTAACAGACTTATTCAAACGGCATATGAAACGGTACATAAGCGTCCGCAGTGTGGCTTGCAGCGTGTTTATTCCAGCAGTGACAAACATCTCACTCGCACTGGTCCATCTCGGCCTCCTGAGAAGCACACGCAGAGCGTCGTTATAGGCCACCTGCAACCTTTGGAAAGTTCCTTTTTTATAGTTCGACCAAAGGTGCGCTGTGTACAGAGGTGTACAATATGATTTGAACAACATCATTTTCACTTTGTCCGTACAAAAGCCAAATTTACGCGCCAGCGTGTTTGCCTGGGCATACAACGTTCTACATTGCCTGTTTATGTCAGCATCATCAGACAAGTCTTCTGTCAATATATGCCCAAGATATTTTATTTTGTTTGCAACATGAAGCCTTGCATTAGACAAATAAAAATCAGGATATGATGTCTTCTTATCCTCCTTGGCTCTACAGATCATAACCAAACTTTTCACTGCATTATATTTAATGTCATGCTCCAGGCCATAGCTTGAACAAATGTTAAGTAACTGTTGCAGCCCAGCAGTGCTTGGACTGAACACAACAAGATCATCTGCATACAACAAATGATTTAACACAAGGTTACCAGCTATACATCCAGTAGTACAAGCCTTAAGTCTTGTAGACAGATCATCCAGATATAAGTTAAAGAGAATCGGGGATAGTATGCCCCCCTGTCTGACCCCATTGCTGACCTTAAATGGAGCAGACACACTGTTCCCCCACTTAACCTGCATCTTTTGCTGAGCATACCAGTAGATCAAGATCCGCACAATGAATTTGGGAACACCTTTCTGAATTAGTTTAATAAATAATTTCCTGTGGTTAACTCTGTCAAAAGCCTTAGAGGCATCTAAAAAACACATAAAAACTGAGGAGTTTTGACCCTTATATTTAGCAATAATTTCTTTGAGGGCATATATACACATGTCTGTGCCCAGCTTAGCTTTAAAACCAAACTGGCAATCTGACGACAAAATAAACTTAGATATTTTGTCCAGCAAAATTGATTCAACGATTTTAGACACAATACTGGCCAATGCTATTGGTCTATAATTGTCTGAGCAGCCAATCTTGCCAGCTTTATCTTTTAAAACAGGAACTAACAAGACAGTAAGCATGGAATCAGGCAAAAACCCATGGGCAAAAAAAGCTGTGAAGCAGATGGAGAGCAAAGGGGCTAACCTTGCACTCGCAAACTTTAAGTGCTCAGCTGAAACACCATCTGCCCCATTGGCTTTATTATCTGACAAATTTGAAATAGCTTTGATGACATCTTGACATAAGATAGCATCTGAACTATCAACATCATCAACACAATGAGGGTCACTCTGAACACAATTAAATAACATAGCGTAATGTTGCCGCCACAGTTCCAATATATTACCAGTGCCAGAGATACCATCAACCACGCATGGCAAGGAAACCTTACTTTTCATGGCTCTGACATCTTTCCAGAACTCAAATGCATTGTTACACTGCAGTTTCCTGGCCATTGAGTCAGCTTTCATTGTTTGCTCATATTTTGTGATGTGACGTAGAGCATATTTATATTGAGCATTGGTGACTTTTTTGTGCTCAAACACTGGCCCAAATCTTGGTCTTCCTGCCAATGTCCACTCAAAGAATGCCTCACGTGCCTTTGTATGAAATTCAGCCACATGAGCATTCCATCCAGGTTTAACTTTCTTTTTAACTTTGCATGTGTGTAATGATTTGCTTGAAACAATTAGTGCTTTCATTATATCGTCATATATAGAACAAATAGCTGAAATATGTTCAGGGTTCCGGCACATACTATCTTTACACATGACTGCTTCTCTAGGCATATAGATGTTACCAAGTAGGCTCTCTGAACGCACACAATAGGATACTATTTCCTCTTGTGTAAGAGAATTCCAGTCCACGTAACAACTACTTTGATTGTCATGACTTACTGTCAAAGGCAGAGCATGAAAATTAATTTCAATCCCAAAAGGTATATGATCAGTTGTAGCTAGCTCATAAAAAATGTTCATGTCTGTCAGTGAGGCGTGTGCATCAGCTGTAGCAAGACAGTGATCCAACCAAGAGGTTGTATGCCATGCCTCACTAACATATGTAAAACTATCAGCAGGCAGATGGACTTTGGATGACAGAATGACCCCATTATCCTCACAAAACTGGTTTAAGTGATTAGCAAAAAGTGACCTTCCATCAGCAATATCAGCATTAAAATCACCAATAACAAACACATTAGAACACTTGTTATCCTGGATAAAGGAATTCATAAAAGCAAGCCTATTAAGATATTCAGTTTCATTAAGATGACATTCAAACGGGGTGTACACATTCAGAACAACACAATCCTTGCCGTCATGAGTTAAATGTATTGCAATACACCAGTCCACTTCAAGTCTATTCACAGTGACGCAAGAGTCAAGTCGTTTGCTCCAAAGAATCGCTACACCTCCAGGGATGCGCCCGCGTATAATTCCACTACTAATGTCAACGGTGGACTCTCCTGCCCCGTGAAAGTTATCATGCAACACATTTAATCCTTCCAAGTCCTGCTTGTCTCCTGCAAGCACAGCACATCGCACTGCTCTAACAGGTGGTCAACAACTAACCGACGAGCTCTATCCTCTACGCTCTGGCCCAAGCGTAGACCGCGACAGTTGTATGACAGAACTTTCACACCCATATCCCGTTTCAATCAGTCTCAGTGACATTGGCCGACAGAGCCCCACTCTTCAACCCACCCAGGGTACCACCATTTGAGCCAGAAACTCCAGCCCTGCCGCTGCGTGGCTCATAAAAGCGCCTCACATAAGCACCCACAGGCCAGATTTCGGGCTTATACATCTCCGCCACCTCATTGCACTCAGCAGTCACTTTAAATGAAGAAAATCTACTGTTAGCTGTGGCTATTTTCTGACACATAACTTCACGGTCAAGCTGTTCCTGAAGATAGTCAGACAATGTCTTTACATCTAGGTCAGGCGAGAATTTGGAGGCGAAAACACTCACCAGCTTCGTCGTCACAGTCTTGATATGGTGGCCAGCCGCGCCTGTACCCACAATAACGACACTTTTACCTGGCTTCCGCAGTCCAGGTACAGAGGTATGTCGGGTTCCCGTTTTTCCACCAGGGTGCGGCTTTCCTCTTTTTAGAACGGTGGACCACTTTGGGGATCCAGGCAATTGTGTTGTTCCCCCGTCAGCATTCGCCTCATCACTGCCTCCGCTGCTGTGTGCATAGTCACTCCCATCTACACGGACAGCACTGAGGCTACCGCTGGTGGTCTCCGTGGTCACTGGAGCGGCCTCCAAGCTGCTGCCTCCGGACCGGTTCACTAGCGCAGATCCGATATTGTCCCGACCACCAGTCAGCGGCACTTCTGTGACGCACGCCTGACCGACCCGGAGGTCCCGGCGACACAACACTTCACTTTTCTGGGTTTCTTCCCCTGTACACTCCAGGCTACACACCCGGCGGTTCACATCCGCGGTGATCACACGGAGATCCGCACACACTTCCCCCTGGAGTTGAAGCGCGCAACGCATGGCACCGATGTCAGAGTGAAGCTGCTCCATTTTCTTGAGCAGGGCACAGACATCCATGTTAGTGAATGTCACAGGGGGCAAATCCTCCAAGTAATGCGATACAAAACGTGGGACATCTTCCCCGCATTCATTGAGAACTTTCAGACAGCTCTCGATGTTATTTATGTCCTTATGCGCGCCCTTATGCACAACATTGCGCTGCGTAGTTTGGCACAGCTCAAACAATACTTTCTTGGAGGCCTCTATCGATTCAGTGTTAAACGTGTTCACTGCCAGTAACACAATCTCATCCTGGCTTAAGGTTCTCAGTTTCACAGCAAGAAAGTTTAGGAGCTCATCCTCCACAATAGTTTTACCATCCACAGTCTTGTAGATTACAGGTTTTAGCCTTGAGCAACACAAAGTAGGAGCAGCAGCGCGAGCAGCAGCACCGTCCGCCATGTCAAGCCCACAGTCCCACAACACAATACTTAAGGACAAATATTGTCAAAGGCAACAGTCTTTTGGTGGCAACAATGCGTTTTACATCTGAGCCGTTCTGTGCTACGTTGAGCCATCTCGAATTCTCGCAACTATCAAGATCACGCGAAAAAGTACCTCACGGCCAGAGGACGGGGCTATTTACCAACATATAACTGTTATACTGAGTTACAACTTCAAAACGACTTTCAATGGGCAGAAAAATAGTGATACGTTATAGGTCCTATATGACGCTTTTTGACTTTTCTCTGCTTTAAACATGATTACAGTGCTATTTAGCCTTCATACACATGCCCAGAGTCGTTTTTTCATTGATTCTGTCAATCTTTAGTTTGAGAGCGATCTGTCTCCTTCACCCTCGAGAGACAGTTAAACGCCCGGGTCTACATCTGTGACGATATCCACTCTGATGACGAATATGACGTACTTTAGCCCGTTTGCTTTGCATTTAAAATTGTTTTTAAATACTTTTGTCAAAACAGGGAAAATAATACACAATAAGTATGCTGTTTGTTCTCAAAAATAATATAAATAATATAAATAATAATAATGCTACAAGATTGACAAATCAAAAAAGCGAATCAGAGCGCGCAGCCAGTTCCCAAGTCCGGCTCCCGAGTTCAGCGTATACCACATGAAGCTGCTGTGTTTCTGCTTTTGTCAGCGATTAAAAGTGTTAGGATCACGTCAACTTGGAGAACGTGTTTTGGATGTAAATATGTAACGCACTATTTGGCCCGAAGAGGAAGAATGCGGCTCGAATTTTTCCACGTGGCTCTGCCTCTGTTTGAATAAATCTGTTTATCTGCAACACTTCATTAAGACTGTTCCAGAACTACAGGGACAATGGAACTGGACTTACTCAAAAACTGATCTGGAAACATGTGTTATTCCCACAATAAAAGACATTAAGACACGGACCCCGACCTGTAAGTAACATGACGCTAACTCTGCGCGTACTTCTGTAAACTAAATAATTAGGATCTAATTGTGCATCGAGGACATAGGGTTTGATGTGACGGATTGTCATTGTTGGAAAAAGTTTATTCTCAGGTCTGAAATGACTATGAACCGGTGATAAACAACTCAGAACGTCATGCTACGGCGGGCTCACAGAGGCAGAGGACCAGACTCCTCTCTTGATCAGCCGGTTCGAGTTGAAGTGACGTCACCTCTAAACCAGAGATGGCTATAATCTCACAAGTTTTGAGTGTTGTATGGTGTATCACTCAAATTATTATCACACGTGTGCACAGGATCGACTGTGAAACCTGAAAAAAAGCGTAATATGGGACCTTTAATCAAAATACATTTTCATTTTCCGAATGCATTTACTTTTTACTGAATTATTTAGAAATTAATCACATTGAATTAAAAGTGTCTTGTGTATAGATCCTATATCTGACGAAGGGCCTCATCCAACGTTACAGCGTGGTATGTAAATAAAATACACTGATTGGGAGCTACATAGCTTTGCGGATTTTTTTCACTCATTTTACGTCTTGCATTTTTTAATCCAGCACGCTAGCCCAGACTACAGGGATGTGCGGCCTTATTTGAAATGTTCTTGTATATAGATCCTGTCATGCGTATAAAGATACTCATTTTAGAATTATGTGAGTAATAAAACCTCTTTTCTGCATGTTTTATGTCTCTGCAAGGTTCAAAACAACGGTTAATCGGTTACTAAATTAGTTGACCACTATAATAACCAATAATAGTAAATTCAATCATAGTGATTAGTTGTGATTAATTTATTAACTATTTACAGCCCTATTTTTGTCTTTCTTTTTCTTTCTTCTTGTATCAAAATCCTGGTCATTCCTGCCCTTTCTGCATTCCACTCTCCATGGAACTGTCCGTGGTGCTGAAGTTTTTAAACACATTGTGCTGTTGCTAATGCACTCAAACCCTCAATTCTGAGAATAGCAGCGTCGTCTCAGCACTAAATCTAAGTTATATACATCCCCAAAGGACCGCACTACGGTGTGTACTGTCAACACAATAGTACAGTCCACGTACCACTGCTGACAGCCACCAGCCCTGTCCCCAAAGATGCTATTTTCTCCATCCAATTTCTGCGGCCAGCACAGAGCAAGGTATATTGTGTTATGTGCACCTTGTCCCTAAGGTGTCATGCTGCGAGATAATGCACTGATTGCTGGTGGCTGAAGCATTTCTACTGTATCCCCTATTGCAAGGTCCTTTCAAACTAGTCCCCAAAGGATGCATTACTTTTTTAGTGTTCAGCCTAAAACAAGCCAGTCATGTTTAATAGCAATAGATAAAAAAAATACCCTGTCACAGAGATTGTCGAAGTAATGTTGATGTCCGACTACAGTTCACTGGACATTAAGGCTCTTCCATGCAGTACTTTTCCACTTAAAGGTGATTACACATGCTAATTGGGTTATTATTTCATTCATTTTTGTTAAATAATCTGAACCTGTTTTTTTTTTTTGTAATGAGTTCATAAAAATGATTATTAAAATCCATAATTTAATTGAAAACTTGAGCTCATTGATTCAGCTTGTGTATGAATTCAGGCCGTAAAAAGTGCTGAGTAGAGACTTAGCGTGACGCCAGCTCTCCTCCAATCACAAAACGAGGCTGCGTCCTCTAGCTTCCACAGCGCTTGTAAACGATAGCAGAATGGAGGTAGAAAGTGGCTATATACCTGCTCTTGCTGTAGCTGCAGACACAGCAAAACAGCCCGAACAATGCAATAGTAAGGAAGAGAAGAGGGAACTCAAGCAAAACAATTATCAATGAAGAAATCAAGCCCGGGTGAACATAGCTAGCTTTCATCATATCCTCTGGAGAGACCTGTGGGTACGGAACCGCCTCGGACTACATTTGGACGTGAACCAAGTGGATATCTTAAAAATTATATATTTTGTTAGCAGTACCTTGCTTTTGTACCATTTCATCAGTGATTGTTTTACAGCTTCAGTTGCACTCATGCTAATGTTTGCATATGTTTCAGATCGCAAATAAAGCTAGACTGTAACTTTTTTCATGGAAACCGGTGAGAGTAGAGTGTACTACGGTGTAGTAGCAGGCCGCCGCAAGTGCCTGTTGTAAAAGGGCACACTTATACTTGTGTAAAGAAACTCTGAACTTATAACTAACACATACAAACCCAGTGGCAGTCAAATGTTTATGGACTTTTTACAAGCACTATGTTGACGTTTAGCATCAACAGATCGGTACAGATTGATACAGATCAATTCATTGCTGACATGCTCCGGGTCTCCAGGTCTAAATATTCACTTTTTGTTGCTATTTGCAGCTCTTAAAACACACATTTAAAATACAAATGAAAGTTTGGAGCAGATGCCGTACATGTAAATGGAGATATGGTCAGCATTAGGGTCCAACTCGCCTCCTGTGGAACGAAATACGTTTTAGGTAACTCAAACCTGATGCTATATTTGAGCCTGAAGTTCCTGATATTAGCGTGGGCGGATCCAAAAACGACTCAATGCATGTTTTTTGATGAGGCGAAATAACAGAATGTGGTTAAAAGAGAGAAAAAGTTTTTTTTTAGTATTTTTTTTTTTACCCTGGCTCTTTTCATATTTACTTATTTCTAGATTTGATGGCTTTGAATGATGAATATGTTTTAAATGGAAAAGATTAAAGCAGGTAGAAATTGTAAATTGTTGACATTAACTAATTCTGCTTCTAATGTTGTGTATTTCTCTTTATTAACTTCATATCTTGAACTTTCTACTAAACAGGGAGCACCAGTTGTTATCTTTGTCTCTGCAAATAATTCTTCCTCAAAAGTGTAAGACTTGGCTTTGACGTTGTTCAAACCCAAGCCCCAAACTGTGTTTTTTCTCTCTGTACCAGAAACACTGTGACGTTTATGTGACTTTCTTCCTTTCAATAACTTTGTGAACAAATTGGATGCAGCAAATGAACGCCTCCAAAGCTATTAAGAGATGAGGCAGATGGCGAATAAAGTCAAATGTGTTAATACATTTGTGTTTTTGTACTTTTTCATGTAGAATGGACGTGTCTCTTCACTCTGCAAACATGATACATCCATTTAACACCATCAATCCACGCATTCAAGAAGCCAACTGTCAGGCTCATCGACGACACTTCATCTTCCTTTGTCTTTTTCCATACAACTTTACTTAACCCTTCAAGGTCTAAGCTCATTTTGGGGAACTTTCCTCGCCTGGTTTTCTTTGTGTATAATTGCTCATAAAATAGTCATCTTGTGATGCAGAGTCAAGCAGTAAACTTTGTTTTTTTCAGTACAACCTGTGGATTTATAATATTCATAGTGTACAGCTGTCATATGAATTATATAAAAAATATGGAATCATGAAGACAAAGAAAAAAATGAAACGGAAATTCAATTTCACCAAAATGTTTTGAAAAACACAATGAAATGCTATTGCTAACGTTTTACACTGTATAGAAATGTTATTTAGGGTCTTGGGGTTGATGGGGAAAAAAATTGAACCTGTGACTATTATAATTTTTACAAAATTCCACTACAA